CTTGTGGCCAAGAAGGCCAATGGGATCCTGGGCTGCATTAAGAAGAGCATCTCTAGCAGGTCGAGGGAGGTGATCCTGCCCCTCTACTCAGCCCTGGTGAGGCCGCATCTGGAGTATTGTGTCCAGTTCTGGGCTCCACAGTATAAGAGGGATGTGGAGCTGCTGGAGAGAGTCCAGTGCAGGGCCACAAGGATGATCAGGGGCCTGGGACATCTGCCCTATGAGGAGAGGCTGGGGGGGCCGGGCCTGTTCCGCCTGGAGAAGAGAAGGCTGAGAGGGGATCTAATCAGTGTATATAAATACCTCAAGGGAGGGAGTGCAGAGGACGGGGATGGTCTCTTTTCAGTGGTGGCCACTGATAGGACTAGAGGAAATGGCCGGAAACTGAAACATCAAAAATTCCATAGGAACTTAAGGAAAAATTTCTTAACAGTGAGGGTGACAGAACACTGGAACAGGCTGCCCAGAGAGGTTGTGGAGTCTCCTTCTCTGGAGGTCTTCAAAACCCGCTTGGATGCAGTCCTGGGCCACGTGCTTTAGGTGTCCCTGCGTATGCAGGGGGGTTGGACTAGATGATCTCTAGAGGTCCCTTCCAACCCTAAGCATTCTATGATTCTATGATTCTAACATAAAGTATGACTTATCATTACAATTACATTCTAGCTCTCTGTCTCTTCTAGTCTTTAAGTGCTTTCTGAACAATATTCTTTAATTAAATAGAAGTTACTGGAATCAATATAAGGATAAAAGAGTTAAATTTAATTAACTATGATATAGAAAAAGTCAGATGAGAAATAATTAGATCATCCCATCACTCTAAAAGTAATGTTAAGTCATACTTTCATCAGAGAAATCTTACAAATCCAGTTTTGGAGAAACTGTGGATAATATAAGAATATATGTTTTATTACTTTTTTCTTTTAATCACTGTAAAATCTGGTTCCTCAGTTCAACTACTTTTTTTTTTCTTCTCTCTCTCTCTTTTTTTTTTTTTTTTTAAAAAAAACCTCAGTATTTCATGGCAACTATATAATTAAGAAAAACATAATCTTTCAGAGTGCATTCCTCCCATTCTAATTTAATTAAGTGCTTTTTGGTGCATGGTATATATTCAGTCTAGACATATCGCTTAAATGCTTCAATTTTCCATTTGACACTAAAGCAAATTCCATATTTCCCATGTAGGCCTAAAGAGAATAGCAACCACTGTATACACCCAAAGGAAAAAAGTTTACAATGCTCCTTGAAATATTTTTTCACTCACACCAGCAAGCACTTTCTATTTCGTTAATGAATAAAACTATTCAATTTGAAAATAGGTAGGAAAGGAAATAATAACTTTCCTGATTTAGTCACAGTCTACTCTCGTTTTGGGTCATCACCGGAAGTGATATATGGATAACTCAAACTATTATAATGCTGGAGGATTTTTTACTCACATATTCTCCCCAGCCTTTACTGAAGATATCTGCATGGCATGTCTATTTTTAACACAAGTGCAATTTTTTTATTCACTGTATATCACAAAAAGTCTAAATGAATTTGATTTCTCTTTTTTCTTCAAAACAGCATTTGACGTGTCATGCAAGCTACAGTAGGAGGTGAAGGCCTCAAAGATCAGAGATGTCTTATGTATAGAGGCCAAAATATACAGACAAGATACTGTGTATGAAAACACACAGTAAAAAGATCCTGTGATCACAGGATACATATGTCTACATTTTCTCAGATTCAAATCAAAGTCTAGGTACCGTAAAGCAACTGTTGTCATTATGCCAGCTTTGCATGATAAAACTGTATACATGAGCTACTACTTAAATTATGTTTATATGTGAAGTATCTGACATAAAATACATAGTTGCATTACATATAGAGTGCAATGCAGATGTAGTATTGGAAGACATTTTTTCTTATTAAATGTGTCACTTAAATTCACAACAAAGTTACATATCACCATAAAAGACAGTAATAAACAATAGTTTCACAACTTTTGGTGAATCAGAGCAGCTATTTCCTCAAGCATTCAACATATATTTTCCCTTATCCTATCTTGTACAGAACTCATGAAAGTAAAGGAAAGGAGGGGAGGAACTAAGATGAAGAGAATTACATCTGTTTTAAATTATTTTTGTTAAGATCATATAAAAGTGCCCTTGGATTATAGCATTCACCTACAGTGCATTTACGATGTTTTTTTCATACATAATATAAATGAGATCATACTTGCCCAGTGATTATCTCGCATGATAGGTGAGCTGGAAATAAGTGTTTACTTCCAACTCCTGCTTTTGATCAGCAGATTGATAGATTCCATTTCAGTCTGCATTGGAACTTTTAGCAGTTGCATCAACTAATGATTGGAAAAACATGTCATCCATAACTCAGTGTTGGTCAATCCAGGTAAACAAAGGAGGAAACCTTCTGAATCATAATAGAAACTGCCTATTTTATTATAGTCACCTCAAGGTGCTAATGGTGCTGTCTTTCAATGGAAGACCTGAAGTAACTTAAAAACTTAAAACTGATCTCTCTTTAAAACAGCTTTATCACTGTTTTATAACACCAAGTTCTTCAAAATGATATGCTGATGCTTCAAAAGTTAAAGTTATATTATGACTGTTTTACATGTTTCATGCTTGGGTGAAAGCTGACTACTAATGTACAAATACTGAAAACAGAAACAATGTCTTAATCAAAATATTTCAAATTATATTTAAGACAAAATAATGAAAATCAAAAAAAAAAAAAAACCTTTTAAATGCTTTCGTTTCACAAAGCAAGGCAGACAAAAGTAGTAAGGAAAAAAGACAATTTTCAAAGCCAAATATTTAAAAATATGAAACAGAGTAGAAAGGTTGTGAGCCAAATCTCAAAAGCACAGCACTGGAAGCTGAAATCAAAGGGTAAACAATGAGTCTTCAGTTCTAAAGTTAAAGCCCTTGGTAATATATACTAAATGCAATATACTGTCACTCATGAATACTATATACAGAACCATGGAGCACCAGAATAGAGATGGTACAGCCAAGCAGAAAAGAAAAAATGGTATCTATTATTAAGCTGTTATTAAAATGGTGACACAGTAAAATCCATTCTTTTTTTAGACTCACTCACTTGTGACCAATCTCATGTGCAATGGTAAAAGCTGAACCTAGGCCAATATCTTCATTAATGCTGCAGCTCCTTTCAGGCTCACACATTCCAGCCACAGAGGCCAAGCCTGAATAAACAGAAGGAGACACAAAGGGTCAAAGCCAAGGTGTTTCAGTCTTAAAAGCCCTAGTTATAAATGCCTGGATTCTTTTTAATAACCTCTATGCACAGAAGAAGCAGTTGGCAAAAGGTTAACTTTCTAGTCATTTGCAAAAATCACTGGGGGGAATTTCACTTTCCCAGCTAGACATTAATATTTTTGAACTGCAGTCAGTGCTGGAAAATGTCTAGACTAGGGGTTAGATTTATAAATTTTACTTCTAGTAACTTGGGACCACCTAGTAACTTGAGCCAAGAGAGGGAATTCAAGAAAGCATTTCTATTTTAACATCCTTGAGCCTGAAGAAAGCAAAATGTATCCACATTATTTTTCTAAAGAAATCTGTTTAAGTTTAGCAGGTTCATCAAAACATACGAGCAACTTTTTAAGCTACAAAAAAGCCCCACATGGTATGTTAAAAAGACTGTAAAAACAAAACCGAATGCATCAATAAAGAGAAAGGAGACATGTTAATAGCAGGCATTCATTTAACCATGGAAGTCTCTTCCATTTATCACCAATCATCTTCTGGAATTAAAACCTTAATGTATTACAAATACTTAAAAACATTTTTTAGAGAAAAAAGCCACTGGCATCTACAGAATATGGCTCTTCTGTATCCAATGCATTCTTCAGCATCACTAAGTGACAGAACATATTGCAAACACAATTTGTTGCCACTAGAGAAAGCTCTAAACATCAGAGGTTTTTTTTTGGTTTTTTTGGTTTTTTTTTTACATATTTCTTATTTTCTTATCTGAAAGTGGAATTAAGAAATTACCTGCTCAGTTAAGTTACACTGTAACAATGACTTGAAAAAGCGTAACTGTGAAAGAAAGCTGAACCTAGCTTTCATCTCCCTATTCAAGCAGGCACTCCAGATTATTCTGTCTGGGCTTCCAGTAATCAAGTAGGAATACAAGAAGTGCTTCCTGGCTATATCCACATTAGCAGATTATGTGGAGCAGTAGGACCTGATCAATAGAGTGAAGCACCTTCATTAATGTTCCTCGCTTATTTCTGTATGAAGGTTGGAGACTCTACTTTGGACATGTCATAGTTCCATCCTCAAGGCCAAATATAGTCCCTACACACATGGTTCAATGCTTTCTGGAGGGAAAACATTAGAGGACATTGTGGGAACACGGTCCATGCAGTGATTCAAAGCCCAATTTCTCACATAGGCACATTTAGAACTTCTGGGGAGTGCATGTTTGAATGATTTCTCCAAAACCAACTTATCTTGTACATGCCAAACTACTCTGGTAACCAAAACAACAGGGAGCAAATAGTAACATTGAGTGTCTGTAGGATTTGCCTTAAACTACTCTAAACCAAATCACTAAAACAGACACACCTACTGGGAGGATGAACTGTCAGAAGGAAAATGTAAACATTGTTTGCAGTGTATAATCCATAAAAAACAACAACTTTGGTCCACTTGCCAAAATTATGCTTTTCTAACTGTGTTAAAACATTCTGAAGGCAACATATGAATACTTAGATAACAACTGTCATGTTCCCTGCTTATGTTACCACATTTTGGTGGTAAAGTGATCTCTGACACCTAACTGAGCACTTGCTTAATGATCATAGAACCAGATTAGTGATTTATAATTCTATACCATGCTTGCAGAATGGGACAGGGCTCTAGTCAAGAAGTCAGTTTACAGTTCTGTAAAGAGGTTAAAGGAGAGAGAAGTGTCCTCCACTACAGCCACAGAGCTGCAGAAGACAGTAGAGGCATAGAAGACACCTATCTTTTCTAAACAGCTCTTCACAAGACTTCTTATTTAAGGAAGCTGGAATAGGAGAACATCTATCCTCCAGTGAATCCTTTACTTCTATTTATCCCTTGAACATGAACGATCCAGGTTTCTCCTGACATTTTGGGACCTCTCTGAGGCTTACATTCACCAGGCCCCTTTGACACGTGCTTAACTTCAGTTACTGGAGGTCAGTGGAACTTAAGCATATTAATGCACTGCTGCAAAAGGGCCACAGGGCCTCTTCCAGTTTAATGCCTATAATGCAAATAAATTACTGTGGCTCTGTTGCCAAGGGTCCAGTAACAGTGAGTTGGAACTGATATCACATGTGAAAATTTTTCTAAATCAAGCCTTTTGTTTAATAAAGCATGTGCCAAAGTCTATCCTCTGTTATGCTGGATTCAAGTGGAGCAGAATCTGCCTTTATGCCAAATACAGCGAACTAATACACTAATGAACTGTGTTAAAAATATCACATATAAATATCAAGCAATTCATGCGTGAATGCACTCCCTTTCAAACTTTCTTCTTTTAACACTTGTAAAGCCAATTCTATAACATCAGTAAAGACAGTCTCTTTAGGTTTGTATCTTCCACACAGACTTTAGAGTAAAACAGTAAATTTAAAAATAATTGCTAGCAATTGTGGTATACCAAACATGCTCTGAATACTGCTTATATTTACAAGAGGCAAAATTCTGATATCGTTACTCATGTAAATCACTTCCCTGTGCCACAAGTTTCAAAAAAACTGCTGACTTGAGTGGGACTACTTGTAGAAAAATCAGCATGCATTAAGGCTATCAAAGCACACAGTAAGAGGGAGACACAAGGCAAGTACAGTGATGGGTTCTGAAAATATTAATAAACTGAACTAGCTGTATTAAAATTGTATTTTAACTATAGATGAGAAAGGGGCTTATGAAAGGATCCAAACTGGAGAGAAAAAAAAAAAAAAAGGCTCTGAATATTTATTTCATACATTTAAAGGACTTAGAGTCTCCTTCTCTGGAGATCTTCAAAACCTGCTTGGATGCAGTCCTGTGCCACATGCTCTAGGTGACCCAGGGGGGTTGGACTAGATGATCTCTAGATGTCCCTTCCAACCTTAAGCATTCTATGATTCTACGACCATTTAAGCTAATAACTATATAATACAGTAAGTATAAGTTCTGGTGAAAAATGTAGGTTTAGAGAAGACAATAGCTCTCCATCCTGCCCCTAAGGTTGCTAAGTGTGTTTCTCTGTTGCCAAAGCAGTGCAGAATTCTAATACTGCTCCAATTTATATCACTGTGTTATTTTTCCCTAAGTTTGTGAAAGAAACAGTCTGAACCTGCACCCCTTGGTATACTATACATCAGCAGTGTAAACTTCAAAGTCTATTTCTGTTTCTTTTGTATTCTTTTATTGTTTTTCTGAAGTATTTTGTTTGTATTTTTAATAGATCATGGAGACAAATTAAATGGAAATACACGTTAAGTCCTCTCCTCTAATTATTGCCTGGTAAGTTTGAGTCATCTGCTAGGTTTTATCAGCATTACAGCTGCCAGAAAAGGAATGCCCAACAGCAGCTCACTTTAACTTAAAGTTCCAGTAATGTATCACACATAAACCCATCTAGGTTGCCTAAACAGATCTATCTAAGGTATCTTTCATACCTATAGAACTGCAAAATTTTGAAAGCATAAAGCTAAAATGCCAAATCAGCCAATAAATCAGTATCTGAGCTTAAAGCAAGAAAACAAACAGCAAATACAAGCTGAAATTTCTCTTTACAATCTTACCCAGTGTTCCACAAGGCTTGTTTTTGTAAGTGCAGATATCATATCTGTTAAGGATAAAAAAGGAGATGAAGTATGTCAGAGGACCAAATCGCTAGGATATTTTGTATATTTATCACATATCTGTATCATAGTTCAAGTAGTCAGACCGCAATCAGCTTAATTATGTGCAGCCAGCTGGTGTCGGCATTTTCTACACTCGGGTGTGAACCGCAAGCTGCAGTACACTCACAGCCGCTGGCCTCAGGCCAGTGGGACACCTGCCAGTAAGAAAAAAAATGGTTAAAGTGGATCTTTGCAATCATGGGCTCCATAAAGCAGCCTACCATGCTGCTGCGACCTTACAGCAGCAGTCTGTAGACTGCTACTGAAGCAAGTTTAACCACTTGCAGCTTTTAAACATATTGAAATTCTCTCAGAGCCTCATGCAGAATTTATAAACTAAACAATTGTAACTCCTACTATTCAAATTTTCTCATTAAAAATTATAACTCTCAATTATTGCACCAAAATCATCAAAAATCTGATACTCTGGTATTAGATTCCTGTGTAATTAACGTACAAGTATCTCAAGTTGAAAATGGAATTAAAATGCTTTTTTACATATCTAAGAGTATGTACAGTGATCTACAAACTGTATCTCCACAGCTTGAATAAGAAAACCCATGTGGGTTCTCATATCCTAGTGGTATGACAATTACAATGTCTTTGATTTTCAAGGATTTGAAATTATTTCCTTTCAAGATGTTTCAGAATAATTCCCTTGATTGAGTGGTGAGTAAAAACAAAGATGAGAAGATATGACATTTATGCTGTGATTTTTAACCCAAGTATTTACTAATTTCAGACCATCAGATAGTTGCTTTAAAAGTAACATATAATGACCATTTTCAAAAACTGCTTTAATTAGAAGCCTGAACATGAGATATATACATATACCTTTGAGTGCTAAACACTAAGTTCTGTCTGAAAGCCTAATCCACAGACAAAATAACAAAGCTTAAAATTTGGATCAAATCCAGTAAATTCTCTGAGCATGTAGACTGCTGTGACCATATGGAATCCCTGTGATTTAAAATGCACTGTGTGGAGCAGTTTGCTACACTAAGTCCTAATTTTGAACTCAAATGTTCATGTGCACTGATCTCACTGAGGAAGCACAAACTGTGCCACCCTACACGCACATAAAGCTCCCGCTGATTTCTCATTTGCTGTTTGGAGAGGGAGAGGTAATTGAATCAGCATTCTTATATATAATGTGTTGCACAATAACTGGGTTCTGTAAATCACATAGGTATAAGATGACACAGAGAGAGCACACTTCCTATCCCTTACATTTTTAAATAAACAGAATTAATATTTATGCAATTAAATGCATAAATACTCTGAAAATACGATAAGCATTTATTCACTATGGCCAATATCAGATCTATTAGGAGAGGGACCTTCTTTCCCATCTAGTTACACACTGCATAGAAAGGAGGCCAGATTCTTCCTGGTCCCCACAAGCTGCAAGCTGCCAGCTAAAGCTGCAATGCATGTAATTGTCCAACTGTGAAGCTCACATAAAAGCAAGTATAGCCCCCCCACACACACACACGCGCGCACACACACACACACACACACACACACAAAGAGGGACAAATTCACGGATTTGAGGGCTAAAAAGTAATGATTAAATATTGTCTCCCCCTGTCCCTTACATAAAAAGGCAAGTAATTTATCCTAGAAGTTAAAGTAGTTCATTAAAGCTATTTAATGTCACATTAAGAGTTGCTTTCAACATAGGAATTTGAGAACAACAGTACTGGACCTTAAGGTTTTTTCCCCCAACAGAAATCCTCTGTGAGTGCTCAGGCGAATAATAGGAATAGGAAAGCATAGGATACCTCTTCTGATACAGCCTCCCAGTTTTGCAGCTTAGGGAGCTTCTCATTTTGTATCTTAATACTTTACTATTGTTTCTCCTATTATTTCTAATGCTTAGTTAATTCTTCTCAGCCTAAGAGAAAGACCGGTTATTTCCAGATTGGATGAATTACCTACAGTTTTCATCTCTGGGATGTTTTTATGCCTCAATCAGCAAAGTTGAGTCCTTCTGCTCCCCCAGAGATCTTTTCTACAATCAAGTTATTTGTTGAACTTGTCTTAAACAAGATGAATAAACTGAGCTTTGTCAGTGTCCACCATTTTTTGTAATAGGTTTTGATCATAAACTGTTCAAGAAAGGACTATGCCTTTGATATATAAGGTCTTATATCTGAGTAAGTGGCAAACTTCAGTCAAAAAAAATTAAAAAAACTAAGTTCACCTAGTTCCAACACAGAGAACTGCAAATCATAAGCTGAACTGCAGCTGCATCCAAACAGGACCTCTGACTTCTCCTAAAGGGATCAAAACGCTCACCAAACTATCAGATAATTTTTGCTCCTATTTCTAAATTATAGAAAATTAAAAAAAAAAGAAAAGAAAAATGGTGAGTAGCTTGGAGCTTAACATTAGTTTTTGTATACATCTACTCTGCTAGGATAAAAAGACTGTTTACTTAACAGGTGCAGACGATTTAACTAATGTTAAAGAACTGTGTGGAAGACAGTCATAAAATGAATATTTTACAGATTTACTCCGTTTTTGTAATAAGCTTTTTATCATAATTCTTCAGTAGTTCACAACTTTTATGAAAATCTGGTCATTCATTTGATTGCACAGGTTAAGAAAAGCAATAGTTACAACACACTGCTTCTTGATTTTTTTTCTAAAAGCTTTACACTAAAATCTGCTTAGCCTTATAGAAAGTGGTACACCACAACAGCACTTTGCCTTAAAATAAAGTACACATCTTATTTGGTTTCTTCCTCAAAAACCTCAGACCAAAAAGAACTATTTAAACAAAGGAAAAGCATAATATATGTTACACATCTCTCAATAGAAATAGCAGTTTCTATTATTAGTTTTCCATATCTTTAAAACTGCCATTGACAATGAAAGTCTAGTTGTATGGGACTTTCCTCGGATACTTAGCTTGGGTGGATAAATGGAATTCTGAGTTACAGATAAGAAAAGTATTACCACTGCAAGTTCTCATTCTCCGATTTATATGAAAGCAAATATGTAAGATAACTGCACTATAGATGGAACATTTACATACTGCTCCTTTCTAATGCACCTACAATGGTAAGAAATTCTATTCTGAAACCACCTCTTGAAACAATCTCTTTTTTTCATGTTCTTATTTGTCTTCACCAGTTTTGACAATGTAACATTAGAATAGTAAATTTACCATATTCAGTGGCATTATAAACATATGTGGGAGAGCTTTACAATCCCAAAGAACATCGCAGTGTACTTAGGACAGAAGCACAAAGCTAATTTTGAGACGCTGATTTTATAGTTTCTTGCAACACAAGCTTTACTCCAAACCTAAAGTTTCTAAAAATATATTTTCCAACTAAGTTCATGAAGAATATATCAACTGAGAAGCTTTCTTTTGATATTATCACAATGTGTCGTGTAAGAATGTAGCAGAACTACCAGGAAAGATCAGATGAAAATACAGGACTTCATATACGAGTTTATAAAAGAGGGGAAATAGTTCTAAAGACAAGATGAAGACCTGGAAAGAGTTTTCAGAGACCAGACATAGGTCTCACACCATTTCAAATCACTGATAAAAGGTCATCAGTCCAAAAAAAAAAAAAAAAACAAAAAACCACAGAGGACTAGCTTTAAAATCTCCTAATTTAAAATAAATTAAGAGTTTTTAGAGATTTTACCCATCACCTACTTTCAGATATTTCTGAGAATTTCTATGTTTCTACAAAGTTTGATACTTGCTCAGGTTTAATTCTTGTTATCGCCCTCTTTCAATGTTAGCTCTGTTTTTCACACAGCAAGTTCTCCTTACCAGCTACAGTAAATATCAAATAACGAGAAGAACGGTAGAACACAGAAAGTACAGAATAATGAATACTATAAATTGTTAGATACCTAACTAGATCAGAATCCAAGACAGACACCTTAAGTAGCTTAACGGCTCCTAGTCTCCCTAGTATAAGACATTCAAATAGTACCAATTCTACTAATTAGTTCAGAAGTGATACTCATTTACAGCATTTTTCCTATTCAAGTTCTGTCTCATGCATTGAAAATAGATATCTTGAAAATACAGATATATTTCCTTGCTGTCCAATGACATATTAACATCACATGAAACTTTGGAACAGACAAAATACTTCCATATACTCTTCCCTTCCATATGCTTTTGCTGTAATCAGAACCTTTCTACAGACTACATGACTACAAACTAGGAAAGTGTCAGATCATTTATCATAACATAAAGGCATATGAACACTCTACAAAATATTAAACTATTTTATTTAACAATGCACACTCTAGAATTATTCTACAGACAAGCTCTGTAAGCAAACTGCAGCACTGAAGAAATCGCCTGGTACTTGAGATTCCAAAATGTGCCCCTCACAGGTTTTGGAATGGCAGCATCACTTTACTCTCTGCTCTGTCTTCACCTACAAGCAGTTTCTTCATTTTGTTTTCTGCTCTGTATCTGAAGAACAGAGACAGAAGAACAGTCTGAAGAACAGAACAGCAATGTTTGCATATCTGAAGTACACTGCTGACATATTTCATTCCAGTGCATTTGAGAAAAAGCTGGCAACTAATGCATAAAGCCTTTGTTCAAGGAACATTCAGTCAGAATTGCTCAAGCAATTTGTAGGGCAACGCTCTTTGGAGTGCTCTAATGTAAAAATTCTGGGAAAAAGGAAGACTAGCAACACCAGTTACATAGGCGTGGCTGGGGCATCCTGCAGAAAAATATTATGCTAAACCATGTGTAGAAAGCCACTAGTCTGGACCTCTGGCAGGAGGGAAACACAGCAGCTATGACTACTAACCAAGTTTCAACTCTGTTGTACAGAAATGAGAAACTGTAGCAGTAGCAAACAGCAAATACACGGACAAATTTTGTTGTGGATATGGCCTTTCTTCCCCTTCTAACCTTCAGTAAATTGCAAATGATTAGCAGAGA